AGGGAATCCTTGCTAAGAATGGAGAGCACGTCACAAACCTTCCATAGTTGGCCAGGAATAAAGAGATATACAGCAAACAGACTACAGACTGATCAGCTGGCATCAATATCATTTACTCCCCTTCCAGCTCTGTCCCAGTTTCCACGGAGAAAATATTTGGATGTGCTGGCTTGCAGGGAGACGTGGTGCCTCTGCGTCAAAAGCAGCGCAGTCACAGAATCACAGAATCACAGAATCACTCGGTTGGAAAAGCCCTCTGAGATCATCACGTCCAACCGCTCCTGTCTACCCCCTAAACCATATCCCTAAGTACCTCATCTACCCGCTCTTTAAACACATCCAGGGATGGTGACTCCACCACCTCCCTGGGCAGCCTGTTCCAGCTTCTGACGACCCTCTCAGGAAAGAACTTCCTCCTTCTCTCTAACCTGAACTTCCCTTGGCACAGCTTGGTGCCGTTTCCCCTTGTTCTATCCCCATCACCTGGGAGAAGAGACCAGCACCCACCTCTCTCCAAGCTCCCTTGAGGTAGTTGTAGGTGGTGATGAGGACTCCCCTCAGCCTTCTCTTCTCCAGTCACTGGTCATATCTCTGTGGTGAGGTGCCAGGAGATGTTTCCTCTCTCTCAATTGATGTCGTGGGGTGGGCAAAGAGAGCAGAACCACTTTCCAGGGTGGCTGTGGACTGGCTTTGAAGTGCTCACTGCTGACAAATACCCAGTCATGCACAAAGGCAAGTGATCAGCCCCACCGTCAGGAAATCCCATCTAGCACTTAGCTGTAATTCAGCGTTTTGCAATGAGGGGAAAAAATGGAGCTGAAATGGAGTAGTAGTACATTCAAGTTTATATGGTACATTAAAGGGGCATTGGCTTGGCCTGCCCATCCTCAGGACAGGCTTGCTTAAAAAATTGCTCTCCCTTTTTTGTGTACGATGGACATTCTCATGATGAATTGTTGGTGAAGCAGCCAGGGGTTTCCTTTCACTGCATTTCGGATCCCAGACCCCAGTCCTGCAGTTTGGACTACACCCATCACACAAAAATTCACACCAACAACCCTACCTTGTGTGTTGTTTTACATCCAAGAAACTCTGCATCCAAGGATCCTCATTTGCTTTTCTATGACTCAGGCAGATACTCACAAAACCTGTTCAATCTGTGTAGCTTTATCATATTTGCTGCTGTTTGCATTATCCAGTTTCTTGAGTCATTTAATAACCCTCAAAGCTTTGGGTCTGCCCCTGAAATGCAGCTTCTAACCCAGACTCTAACCAAGGAGAAAAACCTGCTGGCAAATGCTGGCCACTCCTGAGCCATTAAAAGTGCAAAAACCAGATGCCAGCAGCTTAAATCTCATGGCTTTCATGAACCATGGGCTTCAGAAAAGCCCTCTGCATAAAATACAGGGCCAAATTCTCCTCGTGGTGACCCACTCGTTAGAATTTGGCTCAGTTTTACTGAGAGTGCAACATCAATTTTCTTTATTTAGTATGGCATCATGATACCTTTGATCTGCTGGCTGCATACCCCAGTGATGAGTACCTTAGCAGGGTGATAGATAGAAAACAGTGTGTTCATCTAGATGATAGATAGGGAGAAAATATGGTGAATTAGTTCAGGGGAGATAAAA